GGGAGTTGACGTGCCCAAGATTGGGAAACATGGATGCAGCAAGGTCGGCTGCATTAGACATGCTTAAATGCACTTCGTTTGGTTCCTGAACCAGCCAGAAAGTTGAACCATAAACTAACCAGAGTTGGTTTTCTGAGATGATGGTGATGGTTACAGGAATAATATAAAAATCAGTTCAGTCTTAATCGCAGTGGTTAAACCTGGCTGCCAATCCAGCTTTCGGAGTCTGCTCCCCCCTGCAAAGCCCCAGCAGCAGAACGAACCAAAGTCAGTACTAACCATGATTCAAAGCTTACACGAATGCAACGACCAGCTTTCTAAATGGCCTTGGTCAAGGGGCGGATGGAGCTGAGTTATTGTGTTTTCCCCACGGGCCGGCTCCTGCAAGAGAATAGGGACAGCTTTCCAGAGGCTGCAGAACTACAAGTCCCAGGAGCCCCGGCCAGCAGGGAGAGATGCTGGCTGAGATCTGAGGTTTTTTTAGACAAGTATTGGCCTACCTTCACCTTGTGGGGAAATTACTAGGGGAATTGCATTTGCGCCCAGCACAAGCCCCATATCCAAATCAGAGCAAAAATTCAGTCCAGCCGGCCCAAAATATCGCTTGCTGTTTATTTATGAAACATCAGCCAGCTTCAGAAACAGCTAACTGACAAAACTGAGATAAGAGATAAAAGACGGGCCACAGCAAGCAGAAAAAGACATGAACAACAGGCAGGAATTAGCATTATCCCTCTATCTGTATCTCAGAAGGACACCGAATTTTCGAGAGCCGCTGGAAACAATACTGTGGTTAATTCACCTGGACAGACCCAACGGGCAAGGCCTGCTTTAACCCTTTCATGTACAGTAGCAGAATAGAGATGGAAAGGAGGACACCAGGTGATCCTGCCTCCATTCTGCACGACGAAAGAAACGATTTGGTGGATGGGGGTGTGGTATTTAGCCCTCCCAACCTGCTTCAACTTGGATCCAGCCCAGTCATGGGATTAACTCCTCTGAATGGGGTCTACTGTTGAATCCAAACAAGAGGGAGGCCTCGTGTCGGGTTCCTTCTCTGTGAGATGGAGGGGACTACACTGGGGGGAGGTCAAGAAAGTCAAGATAGCAGTCCTCGCAGACACTCCTGGGGGGAGATTAGCAGGAAGGAACCTAGAAATAGGCCTTCATGGGGGGACCAGTCCCACCGAAAGAGAGTCCCCTTTGAAACCCAGATGGCCTTCATACGAGTAGGTTTTGGACAAGCAGGTCAAACTGTGCTCTTCCAGAGAACATTTGGAATATAGCAGCTAATGAGCCCACTACTTTTCTTAACCCTGCTTTATCTGGGTGCTAATTGAATTGAATTTAAATTGAATTTAATATGGAATTGAATTTAAAATGGAATTTAAAATGGAATTGAATTTAAAATGGAACTGAATTTTTGGCTAGTTTGAAAGTCATTTTAATTTTAAAAGGACGCTAATTTCATTTTTCTTCTTCATAGAGGGGTCTTGATGGTCTTGTTATGGTCAGTGACATTATCCTTTGTTAGCTGCTCAGAGTATTGTTCAAATGGATGGGAAATCTGTCCCCCACATGGCTAGAAGTGGGTTGCAGAAGAAACCCATCATCATCTCGGTTTGCATGATAGGTAGAATGACCCATAAGGAACCAAAAATGTTGGATTTCAAGAACATGGCTAAACCACACACACACACAAACCAGGAATAACTCTATTCAAGGTTAGTAAGTTGTGTGAATCCAGCTACAGTGGAACCTCGGTTTACGAACTTAATTCGTTCCGTGACTCTGGTCGCGACCCGAAGCCAATTTTCCCCTAAGGTTCAATGTAAATACGGTTAATCCGTTCTGACCCCTCCGAATTTGGTCACCAACCGATTTTGGTCGCGACCCGAAGCCAATTTTCCCCTAAGGTTCAATGTAAATACGGTTAATCCGTTCTGACCCCTCCGAATTTGGTCACCAACCGATTTTGGTCGCGACCCGAAGCCAATTTTCCCCTAAGGTTCAATGTAAATACGGTTAATCCGTTCTGACCCCTCCGAATTTGGTCACCAACCGATTTTGGTCGCGACCCGAAGCAAATTTCCCCATAAGGTTCAGTGTAAATACGGGTAATCCGTCCTGAAACATATGTATTTTATTTTTAAACCAGAAAAACACGAAACAAAGTCCTGTACAGTACAGCACAGTATGAAGAGGGAGAATGGGGTGGGGAGGCAGTCATTGTTTGGAGGGAGAGTCCCCTTCAGGGGTTTCCTCTCTTCTTTGCCTCTTAGCTGCAGGCTCAGTTCTGGGGAAAAACCTGTCTAAAGTCAGTTGTTTTTTCCTGCGCTGCATAACCCTCTGGAAGAGCCCTGTCTCATCACAGTTGAACTCTTGCTGCGCGACGTATCCTTCCGCCTTCATGAATTCCTCAAATTCTTTCTTGTAGGCTTCTGCAGCAGCCTTGTC